GGGCGAGCATGTTTGGTGGATTCGAACCCGCGACCCACAGATTGCGAGTCGAGCGCCCTAACCACCTGGCCATGCCGGGCTCCTGTTCTCCTGGGTCGCTAACTAACCAATCACTATCATTTTTACATTTATGTATTTTTTTTTGGGGGGGGGGAAGAGAGCAATCTCTTTGAAATGTCTCTTGGTAATAATAATAAACCAAGCTGTTTTCAATATTACTTTTCTCTCTATTCGCTTATTGAAAACAATCAAACGAAGTAAGTCTATTAGATGGTATAAAATTATTTACTATGTAGTTTGTACTGAAGTTAATCATGTCCTAATAAAAAAAAAGAAACTTTCTTGTCTTCTCTCAAAACAAAATAGATAAAAATGGAAACATTAATTATATTTGTCTTGTAATATTTATGACACGTGCTCTTCTCATGGTGGCACAACATAGAACTGTTTAATTGGAGCCCCCCCCTCCCCCCAGTGGCACAGCGGCATGTCTGCGGACTTACAACACTAGATTTCGGGTTTCGATACCCGTGGTGGGCAGAGCACAGGTAGCCCATTGTGTAGCTTTGTGCTTAATTACAAACAAACAAACAATTCACTGGAGCAATTTATAAAATAAATTTTAGTTCAAGAGCGAAGTTAAAAGAGTTAAAAGTTTTCGAATAGTATTTCAGCTGTCTCGATGCTACCAATGTTTAACCACACATATAAAACTATACCTTTCACTTCGCTTAGATAAAGCTTACTTATCTAAGAAAAGAAAGAATGAATATTTAAAAGTGTATATTTCAAATCAAAACTTCTCTTATTTAGATATACGCGAAGATGCTCAGTGATAAAAGCGGTCGGTCGAGTTGATGTTTCTCTTATTAATATTCAAACTTTTCCCACTTACGTTCATGTTTCGGTTCATAAATTGTGTTATGACCATATAGTTATTTTAACCCTAAAGCAAAACAAATAAAGAAACCAATGAATCTATAAGATAATGATGTCTAAAATATAAAAAAAAGTTCAATTTGTTGGAAGCAGCTGGCCATTTTTACTTTCTTTTTTTTTTGAAACCAAGAACTCGAAATTATTTGAAAAGAAAAACACCTTTGAAATCACTAGAGTTACTAGCAATATATATATATATATATAGTAAGGCCATATATATACGTTCTTCCATGGGGTTAGTTTTACTAAAATATGCATAAAACTATGGAATACAGGTGATTTATCAACGTTATATTGACATCGTGACTCCGGTAACAATATCTACATCAAAATAATGCTGTAAACAGTTTAACCATTACAGAGTAATTATGACAGTCGCGATCAATTATGTGAATCAAGAGTGCCTAAACCGAAATGGTTTTTTATCTAATTATCTTCTAAAACTGAAGTACTATTCATTTTATTTCTAACTTGCCCATGATGTGAATTATTAACTGCCATTAAGATGTATATTCTTGTATAATGCTCGTCTTCCTTTCTCCCTTTCCGAATTGTTGGAGAAATATTATTTTGTCACGAAACTTAATATAATTCTCCAGCGATTCTGAAGACCGACAATCTTTAGTATTTTATACAGTCTGCCTGCTGAATAGTTCGAAAGAATAAATTAGTAAGCTGGTACACACAATCAGCCACGTAAGCGTTGTAAACTTCAAGCCATAAAAAGAAAGTAATTGTTTTAAGCTGGTACACACAATCAGCCACGTAAGCGTTGTAAACTTCAAGCCATAAAAAGAAAGTAATTGTTTTAAGAGTAAGGCTTAAATTATAATACTAAAAAGCAAACAGATCTTTTCATCAGCGCAGAACTCCCAAACCGTAACAAAGACCCCATTCTCTTTGATGTGGTTCGGAGTCAGATGGTACATGGCCCATGTGGAACTATCAATCCAGTTTCTCCAACATACTCTGCAGGACATTTATGACTCATATGAACATCGAGTTTTGTAATTCCATCAAATACATCTTCAAATAGTTAAATAAGGGATCAGATATGTCCGTGTTTGGCCTGAAAGAAGAAGAACAGAACGATGAGGTGGCTTGCTACCACATGGCAAGATACATAAGCAGCAATGAGGCAGCATGGAGAATATTGAACTTCTTTGCACATGAAAGGCATCTCACAGTTGTTCACCTTGCTATTCACTTGGATAACAATCACAGAGTGTATTTTTCAGCGGAAACTGCAAGGGAGAGAGTTTCAGTGCTAAGACCAACCACTCTGTCCGCATTCTTTGAACTGTGTCGGGGAGATGAATTTGCCAGTACTCGACTCTTTCCACAAGTTCCAAACTATTACACCTGGGACATGAGCAAGAAAAAATGGAAAAGACGTGTGCAAGGGAGATTTGTAGTTGGTCATTCAGAGATCAGAAGGCCAGATGCTCTGGGAAGAGTATACACCTTACATCCTAACGATGTAGAATGCTATTTCCTTTGGATGTTATTGCACACTGTCAGGGGCCCAAGATCACTACTTGTTCTACTCGCAGTCAATGAGACACTATGTGAGACATAATGAAATACGTGCTACCAGAGAGGTCATCTTAACAATGATGATCATTGGGATGCAGCACTCATTAAAGCAAAGGTCAGCCAATCCTCTTCCCAGCTCAGAGATATTTTTTGCATCATGCTGCAGGTGTAAAAACTCTTTGCACAAGAAATGTTGAGAGAAACCTCCTACAAAATCAATTTCCTGAAACAATTCATCGATAAAAATGAATCTTGCCTGATCCCTGACCAAAGAGAGGTTTACTACAGAATTCTTTGAAGTTTCGAGTCAAAGGAAGGGGGACTCCTCTTTATTGATGCTCCTGATAGGACAGGAAAAACATTCCTCATGAACCTGCTACTTGCAAAAGTGAGATAAAAAAAAATTATTGCTCTTGCGGTAGTCTCTTTGTGGATAGCAGCTACATTGCTCACTGGAGGATGTACAGCTCACTCAGCTTTCAAGCTTCCACTAAATTGGGGCATATGGACCAAGTGGTATGTAATATTTCCAAATGTTTTGCAGCTACGACAGTCCTTCAACAATGTCAACTAATTGTGTATGATGAATGTAAGATGTCCCATAAAGCTGCATTTGAAGCATAAGACAAAACACTTCAAGATATCCGCAACAGCAAAATAGCTATGGGAGGTGTCACCTTCATCATGGCAGGCGATTTCCGTCAGACACAACCAGTCGTCCCAAGAGGAACAAAAGCAGATGAACTAAATGCTATCATTTGGAGACATGTGACCAAGCTTAGACTTCGAACCAACAAAAGAGTCAAACTGCATGGTGAACATTCTGCTAGCGCATTTACTGAAAGGCTTCTCGATATTGGTGAAGACAAGGTACTGGTGGATTCACAAGATGGAATTAAGGTGCTTCCATGTGATACCATGGTTAGTTCACTGGATGAGATCAAGAACAGAGTCTTTCTAAGCATAACCCACCATTACCACGACCAAAGCTGGTTGTGTGAGAGAGCCATCCTTGCTCCGAAAAATGATGCTGTGAACAAACTGAATGAGGAACTGCTGCAACAGATACCTGGAGGTTCAAGATCTTACACTTCAATTGACACTATTCTAGAAACAGATCAGGCTGTGTATTATCCTATTGAGTTTATCAACTCCCTACAGCCACCCGGAGTTCCACCACACAACTTGGTCCTGGAAAAAGGTGCTCTCATCATGCTAATATGAAACCTGAACCCACCTCGGTTGTGCAACGGTACAAGACTGGTAGTGAAGACACTGTTAACACATGTTCTTGAAGCTACTATTATAACTGGGAACAACAAAGGAGAACATGTTTTCATTCCATGTATCCAATTAATCTCAACCGATCTCCCCTTCAAGTTCAGACGCCTGCAGTTCCCAGTCAAATTGAGCGTTGTAATGTCAATCAACAAAGCACAGGGCCAGTTTCTAAAAGTAGTAAGACTTGAATTGACGTCACAACTCTACATTGGATACTCAAGAGTGGGGAACAATAAGGGCTTATTTATCCTTGCCATGAAGGAAAAACAAAAAACATCGTTCATATGGAAGCCCTGATTTAAAAAAGGTTCTTAGTTTATTTTCAAAAATCAAACCTAAGGTTCTTTTTTTCCTTCATAAATTCACAAAATATTTTTTACCTATCGAAATATGGGACGAGGAAACAGAAAGAGTAGTTTTTTTCGAAAACCCGGGCAACGCTGCTAGTTCTATTATAAAGAAATGGTTGTTGCACTTACTGCAGTTATTTTTCTAATTGTCTGAATCTTGAATACCCAAAGTGTGATATTTTTTATCGATTTGTGTTTGTGGTGTCATTCAATAGATGGCGTCACATTGTATTTATTATTTTGGACACATAGATAGATAGATACATATATACACGTTACGTCCATCATAGTAAAATTATTCTACAGACTACTAATTTTAATCTTATTATTTTTTATCATTAAGATTATTTCACATTGTTAGTTTAGTTTATAGTTTTAGAACAAACCTAAAATCTAATAAACTGGTCGAACCAAGTAATACTTTTTCCACGGTCTGATGATTCATACTTAGACATCGGGCCTAAACAAGTGAAGCTTTTCATTACAGTTTGGATACACAGTGTTGTTTAAAATATCTACATATCTAATTTAATTTCATGTTTATTATTTTATTATAATGATTACTTTGCATTGTTAGCTTAGTATATGGATTTATAACTAACCTAAGCCTCCTGTCCGAACCTCGTGAGATATTATTAGGTTTGCGCGAGGGTACCCCCAGCTGGTGAAACAATGCATTCTGATCATTATAATCAATATAGTTTGAATATTATATTTAATTATCTATGCTCATTGTTGGGCATATATACAATAAACATTATAAAGATTTTGGTAGAGTTCTCATTGTTAGTCCTAGTTGTTACCTTAAAGTCATGGCGGATAATGCCCTGTGGTAATAGCTCCCAATGCGTTGGAGATATTCCACCTATCAGACAAAATCTAAACGCTGATGTCAAACTAGCCAGCAAGCATGTAAAATCAATTAAGGGTATGAAATTGAGTACTTACATCCACAACGTCTCAACTCTTACTCCCCTTCACTGTCTGCAGCGAATGAGGTATTAATATCGCATATTATTGGATTAAATTATTTGTATTTATGTTTTTTTATTAATATATACATATATTTAATATATGAAAAACGTACGAGTTTTGTATTTTGAGATCATACTCTATTTGGTTTTCAGCCTGCAATTTGTACAAAAGTGGAAGCTTTCCATAATACTACAGTATTTTTATCATTCTTTTATTTTAGAATAACCAATCAGGTTTGTTTTTCACAAGATAAGTTTCAGAAATACGTTAGATATTGTTTCGTTGGTGGCTTTTTTGGCGCTTCGTTTTTTATAGATCTAGATTTTAACCAGTAGTTCAATTTTGAAAATGTTCAAATAATTTGCAGTGGGCGTTAGTGCTGAATTAAGATGAAACGAATGCTTCGTTTCAAACATGGTTGATTGTGAGCATCATGACAAACATTTTTTGAGTTCAACAAATCTAAGTGCGTTATGCTTTTAACATAATAGTTTAAAAAATAGTGAAAGTTTAAGAAATCAGACGTTATGAGCTTTCGGTTACGTACATTTTTATTGTTGGTCTCAGTTACGCACATTTCTATTGTTGATTTCCATCACGTACATTTTTATTGTTGGTCTCCGTTACGTACATTTTTACTGTTGATCTCCATTACGCACATTTCTAATTTTGATACTCGTTACGTACTTTTTCCTATCGTTGGTCTCCGTTACGTACGTTTTTATTGTTGTTCTCCATTACGCACATTTCTGTTGTTGCTCATTACGTACTTTTTCCTATTGTTGATCTCCATTACGTACATTTTTATTGTTGGCCTCCGTTAGGTACATTTTTACTGTTGGTCTCCGTTACGCACATTTCTGTTGTTGATTTCCATCACGTACGTTTTTATTGCTGGTCTCCGTTACGTACATTTTTATTGTTGGTCTCCGTTACGTACATGTTTATTGTTGATCTCCATTACGCACATTTCTAATGTTGATACTCGTTACTTAAATTTTTACTGTTGATCTCCATTACGTATATTTTTTATTGTTAGTCTCCATTAAATACACTTAATTGTTAATTTCCATCAAATATTTCAATTGTTGATCTCCATTAAGTACGTTTTTATTGTTGGTCTCCGTTACGTACATTTTTATTGTTGATCTCCATTACGTACATTTATATTATTGGTCTCCGTTACGTACATTTTTATTGTTAATTTCCCATCATATATCTGAATTGTTGATCTCCATTAAGTACATTTCCATTGTTGATCTACATTACGTACAATTCATTCTAAAACTTTGTGTTTATTTTTATATGTATGTAAGGCTCTTGTTTAACATTGTTCTCATAGTTACTTAAAGTTTTAAAATCTTCCAACTACATATCTTATTCCACGAGGTAACCCACAAGATATCTCGTTTTTTATTCCCTTCGCTTCTGGTGGGATCCACGTATTACATCTACGAGTAGTTCCATATTTTTACCTGTCACAACACTCACTGATCAAATAAATTGAATGAAATCATTTATTTTCTAGGTAAAACACAAAGAGAGCTTAGTAATTAGTGGGATTAATTACAATATTAATGCTATTTTGTTACCTTTTTTGTGTGCCTTATGTATTAATATGACACGTGTGTCCAACAAAGTCATTCATGCACAAGCAAACTGGATTATTTATTTATTCATAATAAGAACAGTATTTCATAAATTTCCGTTAATAAATAAAATTGATTACCATACTGATTTTATACACTGATATATTTTTGTTAATGTTGTGTTGCGCCATGCACGTGACCGACAATCTGTCATTTGTGATAAAGAATATAATCCACCCTAAAACCTCCAAGTAACCCGGTTAGACCGTGTAGAGTCTTTGGAAACATATAATATGTTTTCTTGAACGTTTTTCTCCTCTTGTTTCTCATACACAAATTCCCGAGATACTATTGGGATTACGGCCGAAAATATCGTTAGCAGCGATGATTGTTTACTTGTTTTAGAGCAAAGCCACATTAGGCTAGCTGCTGTGTCCCCCGCGGGGATCGAACCCAGATTCTAGCGTTGAAAGTACGTAAAGTTACTGCTGTCCCACCGGTGGGACAGCAGCGCTGATCTTGATAAGTAGAAATGCATATATATGTTTAATTAGCTATAATAAGTCAGTTACATTATTTACACACACAAAAGGATTCTTCGAAAGCAACAATGATTCATTTTATGTTCTTGCAACTGAACAACAAAATGAACTATTTGAACCAACAGCCGAATCTCTGCAGTTTTAACATAAAAATTGAATTTTCTTGTTTTTTGACAATAAAATATACGTCTGTTTCTTTCGAATCGAGTGAAGTTAGGTGTTTTAAAGTAAATACTAAGAGCTTTGTTATCTGTTTTCTTAAGGAAATTTATAAGAAGTGAAAACTGTGAAATAAAAAAGACACGGAGAACAACTAGGTTTATTTTCAACATTTTATTTGGCCAGCTTATTCACGGTGACACGTGTACAAAAAAAACTATCAGGAAGAACACATCAGAAAAGAGAGATTACAAAACGATCAAACAAATAGTTAGTCCTACACCGCTTGGCGCAAGATACAACCAGAAAAAAAAAAGACCTGGAGACACTGCAAGATCCCTGCTTCCTGCAAGCTATCATATACGAGCCCGTCCCTCTGATCTCTAAATAGGGTGATGACTTAAAGGACATGAGAAAGCTATATAAATCTTCTTTACTTCGTAAATCCCGTGCAAGAGCTGGAAGAGCAAAGTGAGCGGAATGAACCGGATGAAGGCAGGCACTTTGATGTCAGCTACATTCCGATATGTCGGGTTTTCTTACATAAGCTCCTTTATAGTTATCACAGTTATCAAATTATGTGATGGCCCCTCGGACTAAAATCTTTATTAGAAGAACTCGTTCAGGTTCTTTGAATATCTTACTGAGCCCAGCACCGCTGCCGCGCCTCTCTGGTAACGAAAAACTGACCGCTCACGTGAACACTATATATATATCTGTACGAGTGAATGTATGGACGGTTCCAGGAGCCATAGCAAACAAATGTTTAACGTACTAACATGCGTTCTGCCGGTAGATTATACTAGGTTCACAAACCAACGCTGTTCGAACCTCTGCCTCTCGTGACAAAGTTAGCATGCATGTTCATCTCTTGTATAATTAATTCCGAGAAAGTGATATAGCCGCTGACCAAGTAACTAAATGTACGAACAAGTATTCTTTCAGTACAGCAGGGGCCGAACTATTAAGATGTAGCAAACCAGCTTGGGCTGAAACCACTCGTGTCATCCGTTCTGTAAGAATGGAATGCAAGATTAAAAGAGACGTTAGCGTGACGTATAAAAAAGTGGAATGTATTAATATCACCTCACTAGAAAAAAGTGTGTACGAGGGCCATACTCGCCCTTGATACAGGGCTTTACTAAAGTCACTTGTCCGGCACTGTGACCTTGCACAAAATGCTGTCCAGCCTTCCAGAAAGGTGTGAATTTGGACAGTAATTGTGGGAACAGCTAGCAGGTTAGCCATTCAAGTAAATACAACTTGTGTTGTTGTTTTTTATTCAGATACTTTATGCGTAAGAGATTTTTCAGCTGGGAGAAAACCACCGAATAAGCTGTCCTTCGTCTTGCAAGGAAGGTGTCATCTTGCAGTATCTTGTTTTACTTATATATATATATATATATATACACACATACACACACACACACTGGTGAGCTATTTGGTACTTATTAGTAAGTTACTCACTCTTAATCTACTTTTATTACTAGTAAACTACTTTTCAGTGAGCTACCATGGAACTTACTAGCAGGTAACAATGTATTTGTGTTTCTTACTGAAGTGAAAAACGTGTCCGCACATATTATTAATGCTAAGCTACCAACTTTTACTTAGTAGTAAAGTATTTCTGTTATTTGTCGGAGTACAACAGGAGTTAAGTCCGAGGGTATTCATATCACTTACCTGTAAGATTCTCAGTATGCTCAGCACTAATGTTACCTACTAATAAGCTCATGGAACCTCGAAACATATCATTGGTTGAAGTTCCGAACACATGACTAGGGGGAAACTGACAACACGACCCCTTTGATAAAAACAAGTTACAACTGTCACTTTATGCTATAAGAGGCAGAAAGAGCTATTATTTCAAACTACAATTTAAACGCTGGTTATTTTAAACCATAAACTGATCGCTTATTTCTAAAGAGGATGATCACATGGTAGATACAATATGAGGCAATCAATGTCGAAGTTATATTTTCAAAATTCACATGAATATACGATATCTCTAAGTAAGATCACAATAATTTCCCCAATTATTATTTACTCACGATTTATAAAGAGCACCGATTTCTGTTTTCAGATACTGTTGGCAGATGAATAAACAGTATTTATTCTATAATGTTTTGGCAAGGACTAACATATGTTCTTGACCAATCACAGGGCTATCAATAAAAAGATATACTTCAAAGTACACAAGCACGTATTTACCACAACTGCCATTATATCAAAGTTATCTTTAAAGCTATAAAACCGAACTACCACCAAACAACGGAAATCCAACGATGACATTATTTCTAATACTTCAAAACGTAACGGATTATTCTAAAAACTGCTGTCTTGAAACGTTACTCTTGCGAGAAAAATACATACCCCAGATGTTAATAACAACATTGCACTATGGTTTTCGAAAATTACACATTTCATCGCCTTTATAGTTTTGTTTGTTTACAATTTCATCCCCATAGTAACTCAAGGGAACAGGAAAGGCTCGTTGAACTTTATTAAAACCTGCGTGAATGTGACGAAAATATCGTCTAACAATCAGGGAAACGTTTTTCGTATGAAAAGTAAGAAAAACACACACATAAAAACCGAGAATCTATAGTGTACATATTTTCGATAGATAAAGCCAACGATACCAAAGAAATATGCGCTGGTGGCGAAAAGTATAAAAATTTGTCTAATTGGTATCAGTGTAATATTTTGTAAACTCTACAAAAAAAGCAAAATTAAAAAAAAAAAGTGGCATTAAATAATATTTTCAAGTGAACAAAAACAAGATGACAAGGGGTTAAAATCGATAAAATTCAAATTTTACCAATCAGGATTTCAAGCGTCAGAAAATTCAACGAGTGCCTATAGTCCTGAATGCTTGTTCGTATTTTAAAACAATCGACGAGGTTTTACTATTATAGAGAACTACGATATTTCTAAAAATATTTCTGACAATAAAGTTATACTTCGTTATAACAGGAGAACCAATTTTTGATACGAATACAGCGTCCATGCTATAACTACACACACACACACTCAAAATTGACTCTGATGTTACACCGAGAAAAGAAGACACTTGTGAAGTAAACAATGTTTTCGAATTGCACAGATATCTATAACGCCCACCTTTGACCTCTGTTCACTATGGAGCTATGTAACCATCCCACGTAACCTGCTTTTTCAACAGCTTTATAATACTTGAACCAATTGTTCAGTAAGTCACACCAAATTCACCTGATGCAATAGACCAAGAAACGACTGTCGTTCGTTCTTCTTCTGACTAATATTTACTTATAAAGTTCACTTATTTGTAAAGCGTGCGCGAGCAGGTATCGAGTAACTTGGGAATACAGTGTAACAAAAAAATGAAATGATTAATTAATATATTCTACTTTATTTTCAAGCTATACAAATATAAGATTTATAGAGTTACTGAGTAGACAAGTATATTCAATAAAACAAAACTTTATATACCAACAGTGAAGGACAACAACAGTAACCACTGGATAATAATTACCACTTTCAGTGGTTAATATGAACAGATCTATCGCATGTAGTAAGTTGTTACCAACGAAAATACAAAGGCATCTCTACTTGATGAATATGTAACACGTTTTTATTAATTAGATCAAGTTGGATAATGTGTCATGTCATGACAAGAATGTTCAACAATATTTACGGTAATACTATGAGTATTATAAACAGTTCAGTTTGTTTCTGGTGTTTATTATAACAGTGTTCCCGGTAGCATTAAGCTTCAGTGTGTTACAGCATTATAAGCAGGTCGACTTGTTTCTGGTGTTTATTATAACAATGTTCCCGGTAGAACTAAGCTTCGATGTGTTACAGCATTATAAGCAGGTCGACTTGTTTCTGATGTTTATTATAACAGTGTTCAATGTCTAAACCTGGTGTTAATAATTTTAAAGCTGCCATAAATTACATATCCACTTTTTTACTATGTGTCTTTTATGAATTGCTCCACTTGAAGTATATTAATATCACATTCCCCAGGGGTCATGTCACCCGTTAAAAAATGTAAACAAGTACGACAGGGTAGTGACATTCTACGTAAACGCGTTGTTTGGAAACTGGGAAAAAAAAATGGCGAACAATGAAAATAAATTCTCGAATTTTGACCAGTTTTAGATTAAGGTAACCAAAATATTCTTCAAGAATAATAATTTACGACGTGAAGTTCCAGGGTAACTTTAGATTCAACAAGCTATGTGAAAGATATACATGAGATATGCTTCGTATGTTTTTTTAAACGCATCTTATGACAACTTGTTACGAAGAGAGACAGAGAGAAGAAAAAAAAAAGAAGCAGAAAAACGACTATGTAGGTTTGTGCCAAAACTTCAAAATTCCACCATCCTTTCGTATCTAAACGATCGAATAAGAGTATTGCATGCAATGTTGTATTCAGCTTTTGGTAAAGCAAGGTAACGGTTTTTACTGTTTGTTTCATGTTTCGATTAACGCTACTCGATAAATTCGATTACTAACCAGAATTTTTTATTACACTGAGTGAATCAAACTGAATAAAAAATTCACTAATTCCATCGTAATTATATATAGTATACTGAAACATCTGCAGGGAAGAAAAAAATCAGTTCAGTCTGTTTTGTTGTAAAAAATACAAAAACAAAACACGCTGCACAACGAGCTATCATCTGTGCCATAGTAAGGGAGGTGTGTGTGTGTGTGTGTGTTTAGGGGAGGGGGGTCAGTTCCGCTGCACAACGAGCTATCCACTGTACTGTGCCCTCGTAAGGGAGGTGTGTGTGTGTGTGGTAGGGGGTCGAGTTCCGCTGCACAACGAGCTATCATCTGTGCTGTGCCATAGTAAGGGAGGTGTGTGTGTTAGGGGGAGTTCAGAATGTTGAGGAGAATTCTACTCTGCTGACCTCTTCCCTGTTAATTAAGCTTTCCAGCAAATGGCATCAAGCTGATGATGACATAACGATCCTGAAATGATCTTTTCACCAATGGCATCGAGCTGATGATAACATAACGATATTGAACAAATAACTGTCAAACATATTTGGTTGCATTAGTGTGATAAGTAAAAAAGAAAAAGGCTAATCAAATGCTTAGAAACGTTGCACGTGAAATAATCAATTCAAACAGGAAAATGGATCGATTTTTGGCAAGTCTTATTCAATTACGTTATTATTACATTCAATTACGTTATTATTAGACATCCATGAATAAGAACTACATGACATTTTTTTTCAAATGTTACCACAGAGAAGAACACCTAACTGATTTAAAATAACCCTTAAAAATATCCATCTAATACTTTTTTAGACATCATCAACTACTGCAGTGTTTTACTCTATTTATGCTAATCCTTCACGAAGACAGTTTCAAGTTTAACGAGCAGTACTATACCAGTGGTACACAGTGTTGAAACCGACCATCTTTAAAATGTGTTTTTATTCAACGAGTACTTTACCCAAGTACTCTGTTTGATGTCCGTCATCTACAAAATCCAAAGAATCTGGCCAAGTAGACGAAATATTACACAGTATCTTTGGTCAATTAAGCCGAGTACAAGAAGGCTAGGCCCACACTCAGTACATATAAACACATACATAAAGACCATAAAAGTTCCTACAATGAGATTGCCACCAGGGGTCACACTGTGACTGTAAATGGTTTAACTTTGTATAGCCACACTGGGGAGAAATTTTATGTACAAGAATATAATGGTTAAATCACCATATAAATATAGAAAACACTATATTTACTTTCTGAAGCTTTGGACAAAACATTCACATATATCGATTGTTAACTACTCTACTACACTACATCGACACTAAACCAATAAAATTTAACAGTACAAGTTTACACTACGTGAAGTGAAAATGCTAGAGGGGATTTTTTAAATATATTTTTGGTCCAAATATTCCAAGATTCAATTTATCACAGGTTTCTGATGAGCAACTGAACCACGTAGTTTCCTGTGATGGACTAAGTAACTGGTTCCTAAAGAAGGCCTAATAATAGAATAAATATATTGCTGTGTATTAAGTAATTTGGTTCTATTATTGTGCTTTTTTCAAATTGCTTTTCCCTAAATATTATTATTATTTCTTATCAAATCAAAGAAATACTTCTATTGGGTTAGAAATTTGTTTGTTTGAAATTAGGCACAAAGCTACACAATGGGCTATCTGTGTTCTTCCCACCACGGGTATCGAAACCCGGTTTATAGCGTTGTAAGTCCGCAGACATACCGCTGTGCCAATGGGAAGCAGGGTTAGAAATTGTCTGAATTGGGATATATTATTTTAATTCAATGAAAACTTAAAAGTACCTTGTTGTTTAATCTTAATCAAACGTTCAGTGTATCCTCATGTTTGATTCCAATTGTTTATCGGGGTGGGGTGGGGGGGAGCTGAGCTCATAATACAATATCACGTTCGGGGTTTTATTTTTCTGTGGCTCCAGATTAGCGAGATTTAATTAAAAAGAACCTAGAATATAATTATATAGACAGAAGTTAAAACATTCAATTAAACGATTTTTAAAAACATTATTACGATAGTAAAAATAAACATTAAGGATACACAAGAAAAGTAGCACAAAAATCATTTAAAATGTTTGTTTTTTTTTTAGAAATTTCTCATTACATTTTTATAATGAACTTAATGGTTACATGATATGGAAGATCTGAGAAAACATATGATGCAACACTGTTAGAAAATCAATACGCCGGTTTTATATAAACGCAATTCGATCAAGTGTTCTTTACATATGTTTTCAGATTAAACAAAACATGACTAAGAAGATAACAAGTGGTTATTAAAGGATGTAAGTGAGCTTGATGCTTTGCATTCAGTTCCAACAAAGGCAACAGTCTAGAACTGAGGACCCACAACAACCTTGGCCGTCATTCTATCAACAAAAAACGACAACTGAGGGGGTGTATCAGTTTCATCGTCAACACTTCGCGAACACAAATTCGAAAATCTGTTTAACCGTTTACTTACGAAATATGATATATCGGGAAAATTTAAGACTAACTAGAACTATTCTCAACTTTATTGTATCTGTGCATCAAGTCTAAAATCACAGTTATTTTTGCTGCAACAAAAGAACGAGGAAAATGGTGACAACTTACGCACACACAAACACACTGAAAACTGTTTTTTACATTTCTATGCTGCTACAATACTTAAATTTGATGTCTACAGTGATCTGCATACACGCTTATTAGAATAATAGTTTCAGTTTAATATATATATATATATATTAACAATAATGTATTTAATTCACCTTAGCTTAGCGAAAACTACGAAATATTATATTCATGTTTTAAAGAAAGAAAAAACTCACGTGTTTGAAAGTTTTACAAGAATACCATTAACATCTATCACAATAATCACTTTAGCTAGGAGCTGTCTAAATGTCTCCTGTTCTTTCAATCCAGTGTGGCTACACGACATGCGACTTTATAAGTCAAATTGGTTATTTTTGATAAATTACTATTATTTTTCTTTCACACACAAAAACCTTACTCTATAGTTGCAACAGAAAAAAAAAAAAGACAAACATATTTACCATCATTTACATTTGTATTATTAGAAACCCAGTTTCACACAAAACTACCCTAATGCAGAAGTATATGACTCACAAGTATCACATTATATCACATGCCTGGACTTTTTTTTTAACTTTTTGCAAAATGAAAAATAATTATCATTTCCATATCACACAATTTATTTGGTTATTAAACCGTTTATTAGTATTGAATTGTATTGTACCCAATCTCATACCAGACAAACGGCAAGTTTATCTGTTTTTTTTTCTTCACGTGTGAAAAGTAATTTTGCATCAGAAATTTTAGATGATATACACCAGGTTTCACAACAATACGAACACTTTTCACATCACTGCCCTTTATATAGAAGACATTTTAAAATAAAAACTGACAAGAAGCAGATCATTTTAATATTCCTGTTTGTTTGTTTTTCTCACGTATGAAATCGATGACCAAAATTTAGTTTAACAAATTTACCTAAAACGGTTGTTTGAACTCAACTTTTCCACACTGTGAAACTTCCGAGAGCTTTTAGTAAAGGACCATAGACATAAAAGAATCAGAAGAATATGTTATCTAAACTTGTTATGTTTGTAAATACCAAAACTTAATTATCAAACTTTATCTCGTACACCACTGTATCTGATGTCTCATTAATTCATAATATTGTTACGCTACAAAAATTCATTCAGTAATGATGTATGATATATAAAGCTTTTGTCATTTTAGATCAAACACATAATATTTTGGCAATATACATGGCAAACCATAGAAAATGAAAAACAAAAAAAGAAAATATTTTTCTGTTTTGGTCATAGAAACAAAATTGTTCAAATTTATCATTTTCTAAATATTTCTAAAAATTTTAAAACAAACATGAAGCTAACAAAGAGTAGATTATAAAGATGATTGCGTTCTTTTTTATATCGATTACTTATTAAATATGTAAAACAAAAAAGCAATTAAACAACTGTAATAAACAATACAACGTGATAATTAATCTTTTTGATTTGTAATAAAGAAAAATACGATCGTGCCAGAAATTCTGGCCACTGGATTTCTCCTCAATATTTTCTAATAATCTCTTGTTTGAAAATAATAACAATGTTTACAAACGAATTCAACTTGGTGACTTACTCGACTACAATGCCCTGACTAGGCCACAAATGAGACAAAAATGAAACCTGGTAGATAGATGCTACATTGATGACATCTGTATTTTACCATCCAAAATATTCATCTTATAACCAACATCAAGATAAAATTACATTTCCTCAAACCTAAGGGTTTAACAGTTGTTTTCAAGGTCTTAGACCTTAAAATCCTTAAATACAACAACGAGAGTAAGCGTTTTTTAAAGATGTTTGGATTCCAGTACTGGCCACTGGGCAGTTGCCTCAACTGCTACAACACAACTAGACATCACAGATGAGATCCAAAGTCTGTGCTCTTCACTGACTATTGCCCTGTGAGATTGGCTAGGCCTCGTCCATCCTAAGGGCTCACATGAGCACAAGTTCTTCCACACACACATATTACAAACTTGGCCATTCTGCAAGTGAAATGCTAATTTATCAATCAAGTAAAAAAAAGCATTATAAATACTTTAACTTAGTGAAAGACATATAAAACTAGTGTGTACGGTGAGCACAGAGTAGATCGAGATATTAATATGCTTGTTAAGGGTTCTCTGTACAAATTAAATTTAGCTTTGCAGACAATACTTGTTAACTCCTTCTCTTACCCACTAAAATCTTGCTAGTGGAGAAAACAGATTTTGAAGCTTGCAGAATGATCAAGTTTCATAATCAACTTTTCACACAACATATTTTCAATACTTTTTATAGCCTTCATCTTCTTTATACTGGTTCGTTTAAACTGACCAGACCATAGCCATTTTGTGCAGTTGATGAGACGACTAAAGATGTAGTTGATGAAGGAGTGTTGCTGGAAAAGCCTGATGAAGCTGTCACTACTGATGGTAAGCTTGTTGAAGCAGAAGAGTGATTTACATACTCTTTCTCACCTTTGGGAACATTAGCTCGGGAGTGGATGTTCACCTTGGAAGCTGTAACAGTGCTATCATTTTCATCTTTGATCTGATTGGCCAGTTCTTTGACCACACGTAATCCTTCATCCATAAGAGTCTCTTGAACCAATTGCTTGGTAATCTGGGCATTGGTCTTCTTGCTGTTGGACACCATTCTCATGGCGCTGAACATGTCAGTGGTTGGGAATGAGTGGTTGATGTCCAACGACGGAGGTTCATGGGCTTCCTGACCCAAGGGAGGTGACGAGGTGTTACTGTATGCTGAAAACTGGGAATCTGTGGATTGGGATTCGGAATCAAAAATCCGGGTTTAACTGGTGCACCGTTACTGACACACATTACTTTTGATTGCTTTTATTATAATATTTACAACAGTGGTAGTCTTATATACTTGAAAAATAACTGTACTAATGAAATATATATGCACATCATAAGAACTTTTCAAAAAAGTAATACCATCATTAACACCTGCAACACGAGCCAGTCCGGCATCTTGATTGTTTGTTTTGAATTTCGCGCAAAGCTACACGAGGGCTATCTGCGCTGGCCGTCCCTAATTTAGCAGTGTAAGACTAGAGGGAAGACAGCTAGTCATCACCACCCACCGCCTACTCTTGGGCTACTCTTTTACCAACGAATAGCGGGACTGACCGTCACATTATAACGCCCCCACGGTTGAAAGGGCGAGCATGTTTGGTGGGACGGGGATTCGAACCCGCGACCCTCAGATTGCGAGTCGAGCGCCTTAACCTCCTGGCCATGCCGGGCATCTTGATGTGGATCAAAAAAAAAAGAGCTATGTCGGAAAAGTTGGGGTTGTTTGATTAGACAAAAAAGGGCATTTGGCACTATTTT